TGGATGTCCTTCATTCTCAATAAACGCATACAAACGTGATTTTTGAGAACCCTCCATTCGTTTGAGAAATGGCAACGTACAAGAATTTCTTCATGATCAGAATGTCTAACAACAAATACTAATTGTAAAACTCCGTAGGTTGACTAGAACTCGTCGTGAACCAACTAGATTGTTTTTCCTCTTGGAGGATCACGATGATGTAGAGATTCCTAATGAGGATGATCTTCGGACCTACACTGAGTTTATGTAAGACATGGACTCAGAGAGGTGGCTTGATGCCATAAAATCATAAATGGACTCGATGTACATGAATCAAGTTTAGAACTTGGTTGGTTTTGCCAATTGGGGTTAGACCTATTAGATACAAATGAGTTTTCAAAAGAAACCTCTTATGCGAATGGCAAAGTACAAACCTACAAGGCTAGGTTGGCGTCGAAAGGTTATAGTCAATGTGAAGACGTTCACTGTAATAATACCTTTTCGCCTGTTCATGAAATCAAGTCCATCTTGGATTTTACTTGCAAAAGCTGCATACTATGACTATGTAATTTGATAGATGGATATTAAAATCATTTTCCTTGATGGAAAATTGGAGGATGTATATATGATACAACTTAAAGGTTTTATATCTAAATCAAATTCGAAATTAGTATGCGAGTTACTAAGGTCCAATAGTGGACTTAAGCAAGCCTCTGGGAGTTGGAATATCTTTTTCTACAAAGTTACATAATTGTTGGGCTTTGTGAGAAGTAAGAAGGATCTATGTGTTTATAGTAAACGCAATGAGGACCATATTTTTTTATCATATATATATGTGACATATTGATAATGAAATGATGTTCCTCACCTGCAGTCCATAAAAGATTGATTATCAAGTGTCTTCATTATGAAGGACTTGAGTGAAAACTGCTATACTATTGAAATTATGATCTATCGAGATAGATCTAATAGAGTGTTAGAGTTTCACGGTCCATAGTCAAAGGTACTGAAGTGCTTCTCCAATGTACCTGACATCAAGTTGGCAAAGAAAGATTGTCTTTCAGCTGATGCCAAACTTGGGTGCATGAAGAAGATTACATTTGCTTATGCGATGGAGTTTATCATGCATGTTATGACATGTACGAGGTCTACATGGCTTATGCACTTAGTATCACCTATAGATTCTAATAAAATCCTAGGGAGCTATATTGGAAGACTGCTAAGACTATCTTTAGTACATTAGATGGACTAAAGAATATATTTTATTCCATTGTGGGAATATTAATTTAATAGTCTTATATTCATTTCAATGATGAGACAATGGGTTGGAATAATTCCAAGTAGTAAACCACTGTGAATTCAACCACAAATGTCGAGTACATTGTTTCAT